ATACGGAGAACTAGCTTTTTATGTACGCAGGTTCCCCAAGGATGACCGTGGGACTTGAGTATGTGAGGATCTTGGCGTACTCAAGGGTTCTGGATTCAATCCCTGATGTATATTGAGGGACAACTGTTAATCTGAATGCACAGACATACAATTACAGAAGATTCAAGGTAATATAAATATACATATATTTGGAAATTCGAAGTAGTTTTTTATTTTTGATATTAAGTTTTTAGATTTTGTTAATATTTATTATTTAATAAATTATTCTTCCTAAATTGAATTTGTCATAAATAAGTTTTTATTAAAAATAATAAATTTGAAAATGTTTTAAAATTGTTGGGAAAATATTTATAATCTCAGCACTAAGACAAATCATTTTGATAACTATCTACTAGGAATCTCTTGAAATGCATACACAAGAAGAATTAAAGTAGAAGTATACTACATACCTCCCATATCTGCTTTTTAAACTTATTAATAATACTCTTAACACTATGCCTTAAACATTTTCCCATGTCTAGAACTATGGGTCTACTTTGTCATTATAATAGATACATTGTATTGCACTGTATGGATGTTTTGGCATTTTAATCATGCAGTTGATGGAAATTTAAGTCGTTTCCAATATTGTACTATAATAAGCAATGCTGCAATGAAAAAAATTTTGGCACATCTTTCCAGATGTATCTATCTCTTTAGGATAAATTTCTGTAGTGGAATTAATGGATCAAAGGAAATCCACGTTTTAAAATTTAAAGACATTATGTATCTGCTCTCCAGAACAGAAACAATTTTATACTCCTACCAATACTACATGAGTGCCATTTCCTCTATTACTAGTGAGAATAAACAACTCCTTCCATAAGTTCACTGGTTATATGTATTTTGTCTTGTATCCATTCATGTCCATTTCTCTTGTGGGATGTTTTGAATTTACTAATTAGTTTGGAGAATTTTTTAAGGTTAATATTTTTATCTGCAATTGGAGATCTTTTTCTACTTTTCCCATTTTTCTTGTTCTTTTATAGTTTGGGATTTTGAGTAATGGTGTAAGGCTTTTCATCCCTCGTGATTCTAAAAATATTCTACCATGTCTTGGCTCTGTCACCCAGACTGGAGTGCAGTGGCACAATCTCGGCTCAGCCAAGTCTCTGCCTCCTGGGTTCAAGCAATTCTTGTGCCTCAGCCTCCCGAGTAGCTGGGATTACAGGTGTGTACCACCAAGCCCAGCTATTTTTTTTTTTTTTGTATTTTTAGTAGAGATGGGGTTTTGCCATATTGGTCAGGCTGGTCTCCAATTCCTGACCTCAGGTGATCCGCCCGCCTCAGCCTCACAAAGTGCTGCAATTACAGATGTGAGCCACTTGCACCCGGCTCATCTAAAAGTTTTTGATGCTCGAAGTGTAGTCGAATATTTATTTTTTTTTCCCAAATGGGGAGCTAGTTCTCTTATTGAATAACCTCTCTCCCCAATGAAAAGCCATTTTTACCATCCGCAAAAGGGAGCAGCATACCTAGACTCTATTTTGTTCCACTAATCTAGTTATCGTTGAGCTAATAAGATTCCACCTTAGTAACTCTAACTTGGGAAAAAAATGTTCACATCTGCTGGGACTGGTTCCAGCTCATTTTCTTTTCTGATTTTTTCTGGCTGCCTTTTTCTCCCCCTGCCACCCCCTCCCCTGCCCCCCTCCCCCTCAAAAAAACTTTAGAAATATGTTGTCAAGTTTCTAAAAATTCCTATTGAGATTTTGATATAAATCACTTTGACATTCTAGCGTATGAAGGGAGAATCTTCACATGAATCTGACCAAGAATCATTTCTTTGAGTAATCCTTTGTCCTCCATGAGACTTCTGTAGTTTTCTTTGTAAAGGTCCTGTGTGTTCTCGTAAATTTGGTAGCTTGTATTTTACTACTTAAAAATTGTTTGTTCTTAAATTTCTGTAGGCACATAGCACATGTACATATTTATGGGGTACATGAGATATCTTGATGCAGGCATGCAATGTGAAATAAGCACATCACAGAGAATGGGGTATCCATTCCCTCAAGCATTTATCCTTTGAATTACAAACAATCCAATTACACACATAAGGTATTTCTCACTGCTTTTAAAATTAGTGATAGTAGTGGCATGGCAATTGTGAAAGAGATCTTTTTTCATTATTTTCTAATAAGAATAATTACTGATGCATATTAATTTATATATATTTATTATATAATTAACCAGTTTTCTTAACTTATCAATAGTTTTCCTATTTGTTCTCCTGCATTTTCTAGGTTTTGAATAACATAATTGTAAATAATGATCCTTCAGCATGCTCCCTTCCAAATCTATGTGAAATTTAAACATTTAAAGGATATTATCTTATTTCCAGGTCATTAATTTTACACAAACCTAATTAATATTACCAGTGAATAAACTTAGCTCTTTGGTTTAGGCCAGGAATTTTCCTTAATTATTATTTCTTTCATTATTCTGTGAAATTTAGGGGCCATCCCTATAATTTAAAGGTTTTTGCTTTTTGTCTGTTCTATCGTATTATTTTCTTCATTTTTCTCTATGCTTTTGGAGAGTTATGAAATTTGTTCACGTGACCAAGTTTTCTGTAATGTTAGCTATGCTCGTTTGCACTTCCTCTGGGGATTTGCATTTGGGATTCCTTTTTTCATATTTCAGGATGCTCTCTCTTCATTCCTCCTCTTTGCCCCAATTTACTCTTTTTTGGCTAACAAAAATATTATTAATTATTTAAACACGTGTTTGTGCAAGACAGAGTGCTAAGTAATACATGACCATTAGCTCATTTAATTCTTACAATTCTGACCTCCCTTTCTTCCCATGTTACGTATGAGAAAACTGAAGCTCCAAATAATTAATTTGCCTAGGATTCCATAGCTGGTCAATAATCGTGCTAGGCTTTAAATCCAGTTTCTTTGCCTTCATAACCCATGCTCTCAACAACTATACCAGAGCTGTACCTGTGGCCTTCCTCCCTGCCCATAAGAGAGGTCAGTTTCTTCCAGATCAATATCTGGAGTGAGCTAGCCTCTTCAATACTCTGTGTCAATTCCAGGGCCTGCTGGACTAAGGCATGGGCATCTTCTGCTCCAATTTCTACATTATCTGGCTTTGCTCGAGTCAGACAAATGTCTGCACAAGTCTTGTATTTCTCCAGCAATTCCACTCTCCATCCATTTGCAAGATTTTCTCTGTGGTGACATCTGAGGGTGCCGTCCGTCTTCCTCCTTAATCTATAGCTGTACTGAAAACTGAAACCTGTAGACTCTAAAATGCATGTGAAAGCGAGGAGCTGAAGGATACTGTGGGATGGACCTAGACCTCAACTCTAGCTAGTTCAGATGATTTCTGGTTTAAAAAAAAAAGTGGTGGGGGGCAGGGGGGCTTGGTTTTCCAAGCAGTGTACCTCCTGTGTCCCAAGTTAGAGGCAGTGATTGACTTGTGGCTTTTTCCTGCCTACTCTGTAGATAATTTGGTTCACCGAATCAAATGATTGACACTGATGTCAGAAATTCCCAGTGGATTTTGGCACATGGTTTACTCTTCACTGTCTTGTACTACTGGAGTTTTGTGGGTATTTTTACGTGAAGTTGGGAATGAATAAATCAGGGACTGCTACCTGTAGTTATATTTAGCACATTTAATGAACATCCGTATCACATAACTTTGGGATCAGTATTAGACTCACTTTTAACGACATACATGGACTGTCTCTATGTATGACTTAGGGGTCGACACAGACCAAAGTGAAGTTACGTTTCTTTCTATAACATTTCCTAGGCCTTGTCCTTGGATGTAGGAAGTTTCCACAGTATGAGCCCTATGAATTAGCAAAATTGTCATATGACAATTTTTAAATGACTTTTTAACGCACTGTACTAAAAAAATGAAAGCATTAGAAATGATGGAACATTGAGCTGAGGTGTTTTTCTGTTTGCGAGATACAGTCGAGGAGGTGGAAAGAGGTAGGTCAAAGTGACCTGACAGGTTTTGCTGTTCTTGGAAATTGTGTAGAAAAAGAAAGCTCTTTATACTACAAATTGGGGAAGCCCCTTGGCACACATATAATTTCTTGCCTCAACAGGCTGAGTTAAGGGCATTATAAAATGCTAGTTTTTTTGTTTTTGTTTTCCTTTCAGAAGCATCCTATTTTTTACCTCTATGGTTAAAGCTACTGTGGAGGGAGACAGCTAACATCAAATGTATTAAAGGTGTGATTGCAAATCCCAAGCTACACTGAGAGCCCAACCCTTGTGATGGTTAGTTCTGTGTCAACATAGTCATCATGTCCTACTTATGTGTTTATACAAAATTTTCAGTTGACTTTAAGGAGATGTCCCTCAATAATGCAGGTGGGCCTCATCCAATCAGTTGAAAGCCTTAAGAAGAAAAACTATTTCCCAGAGAAAGAATTCTGCAAGACTGCAACAATAGAAACTAGTTGTATTTCTAGTCTGCTGGCCTGCCCTACAGATTTTAACTTGCCAGTACCCATAATTGCATGAGCAAATTCTTTCAAACACATCTCATTGTATTTTGATTGCTTGTCTGGAGAACCCTGTATGACACCTCTTATATTCTAAAATGTTTTACTTGGGTCTCATCCTTACTCAACTATAAGCTCAAGGATATGGACTCTGTCTTATACATCTCTGTATTTTCAAAATTCAACAGGGTACTTTCTCAGACTCTAGGTACTCAATAAATACTTGTTGGACTAATGGATGCATAGAATAATCTATTAGAGAAGCCAGAGGTACAGTGAGCAAGGAAAGCCAAAGGCCTGGAAATTTAAATGTATGATTTTATATCGACAGCCTACAAAAAAGTCAACTGAATTTGAATCTCCTAGTCATGTGACCTTTGGTATGTTGATTCACCTATTTGGGCTCATGGTGCTGACCAATTTGGTCTCTAAAACATTATATGACTAGGTCACAGAAGTCAAAGCAACCAAGAACAGACATTCAAAAGACTGAGTTAAACAATGTTTGTTTATTATACAGGTTATTCTCTACTTTTCATCAAGAACGAGCACTGATGACTATGTAGTAGCCCTAAGGCCACAGGCAGCAACCAAGTAGTGAATGCAGTTGGTTGAAAGTTGGAACAAGACTAAAACCATAGAGATTTATGCAGAGAGCATACCTAGTGCTACATATTCATAAAAACGGTAGTTAATGCATACAGTTTGGCTAGTTTTGCCTTCAAAATTAACTAAACTGTATCGATGTATTTTGAAGTGTTAAGTCATCTGTATGCTTTAGCTCTTTCTATAGATGAGGCAAATGTACAAACAGATTAAACTGACTTTTACAGAATAATTATTCTTTTACCTTGTTGCATGGAAAGGAATCCTCCATTTTAGGATGCACATAAAATGCCAGCCTATATTGATGGCATTGCCTTAACACTTTTCTTTTTTTTTTTAACTAATTTTACAGGGCATTTAACCTATAAGAGAAACAGTGGATAAACTTGGAAAATGCTAATAGCAAAAACATTTCAGTCATGGCACATATAGCCAGAAGCCAATGATATCCTTCAACTATAGAAATTAGCAGTATTTTCTGTTTATTACTGAAACAGGATTCCATGTTCAAGCCAGAAATTGTCATTCAACAGAACAAATCAGGTCAAAACAATCAAACACATCATGTGACATGACAAAAGGATGTGCTCATTTGATGAAAAACAAAAATAACAAATAATCAAACTTTTATTTCCTTGAATACAACATTGATGGCAAGATTGCTAAGAGGTCATCCCTGTATTTAGTTTAGATAAAGGCTTCCAGCATAGAACACTGTTAAGAAGTAACTGTCAGGAGCTATGCAGAAGTGATGAGAGGCAAATACTATAAAAACTGGAAAAGCAGGTTTTGATTTTCTATAGATTTTATTACACATTATTGAGACAAATGAAGATAATTCTTCGTTTATCAAATTTGTGAGCTTAATTATTTCAACAAAATATATGACCCTCACCAGACAAACAGATAACTGTAAATTTACTCTGAAAATCTAATCAATTGAGAAGTATTACCTATTTGGAGACTATGCAGTATATCAAAGATAAAGCTCGTATTCTCACAGAACATATGGGGTCATTGGCAGCCAACCAATAATGAAGTAAATATTCTAATATTTGGGAAAATACTGAGAAAACTAATAAATTATCCTGGACATTATTTATTTTTGCCTTTACAAAAGACTTACACATCCAAATGAGGTTAGTTTAGAGTAGAGGTTTTGAGTCCAGAAAATGTTCAAAGTCCAATACAGCCATGGCTAATCAGAGACTAGAGAACCTTTACAAAGGTAAGTAGGCTTGAAAACCCTTGGAAACTGAGCAGTCTTATTTTGAACTAGCATGTTTTAATCCAAGGTATGGAATTAATCAAGTATCAATTAAGAATTACTGGAATGCACCCTCATGCCAAACGATGACTAACATGCTATTTCCTACTATGATCACTCCTTGATTTGAGACAGATGGCATAAAAAAATATTGCTAGCAAAACAATGAATTTTACTCTTCTGCCTCTGTTCTTTAAAGAAAAATCTTATTTTTTCACGTAAGAAACCCATGGAATCAAATATTAATTAAAGAAAAGATAGGGTAAGTACAACTGGGGGAAAGACAGTACCTCTGATTACACAGGAAATCCATGAAAGAATTAATCATAAGAGAAGAATCATTTTTCCAGTAGCCCCACTGCCATGAATGATATCTTTATGAGCCTCGGCCACCTTCTCCAATGGATATTGAGAACCTATTACAGGTTTCAACCAGCCAATTTCCATTCCAGCTTGAAGGGCTGCTGCATATTGCTGAAATTCCTCCTAAGAAAAAGGAAAAATAAATTTCTTTTTGTAGTGAACCATGATTTAATTTTCAGAAGCATTAAAAAAACTTCAGAATCTAAGTGTTATACCATAGTCTCTTACAAATGTGTGACTTTTGTCAACTTGCCCATAACAATAGAAAAAGTAGTTCTCTACATGATAACCATAAATCCTATCTGCCCGAGACAGTGTTAGTGTACAAAATACCTATTGTCCTGAAATAATTACTAGTATCACATTTCTATCTCAAAAGGTATGCTTACTTGGATATAAATTATATTGTCACCCTAGCTGTCCTTCTGGTGACTAATCCTTACCAACTCCCTCTAGTCATATAACTAAGTTTAACATCTACTCAAACTTTCTGTTTGCCTGAATAGGCAAACTGTACCAATGTTTAAGTTATCAAAATCAGAAGTACTTCTTTTCCTACCTTGGTTGAGGAAAAGAGAGTAACTCCAATTATACTCGACTCCTTTGCCATGGTGTCCCGTGGGTTTATTTCAATAGTACCTCTGTTGCCAACAACCTAATATGAAAAACGGCAAGTCTACAGTTAAAGATTACTGCAAAATAGTGTTAAATTGTGGTAAAACATTAAAATGGTAAAAAAAAAAAAAAAAAAAAAGAAAAGGAATACTTACTATCACTCGTCCTCCATGTGACAGAAGACTCAAGTCTTTACTAAGATTTACATTAGCTAACATTTCAATAATTACATCAATTCCTTTCTCACCAACATATTTCTATATAATAAAAGAGAAATGTAGAGTAAGATAGCAAGTGAAAAACTGTAAAATAGCTACTATCTATAAAGATATTATAAAAATATGTTTCAAATGATATATAAATGCTACATCTTTGAAACTAATAATGCAAAATTTTAAATAATCTAATTATATAATTATGATGTAATTCCAAGGTACCAGCCAGAACATCTAAAATGGTAAAGATTTGTACTAAATACATTGCTGTAATGAAATAAAATTTGCCTGAAATTTTCAGGTGCTAGACTCAACTTGAGTATAAAATACTTTTCCTTAGCTGAAAATTTTCTATCTTTAAAATAAAATTTCATAAAGAAACAACAAACCAAAAGTCCCAAAGCCCCAGGGGGCTCCCATTTTTATTAATAAACAAAAAGCAAAAGAAAATATCATTAGCTGTTTGGTTTTTCATGATTTTTGTTGTTTTAGTGCATCTGGTTTTGTTCTAAATGGTTTATAATCTGTTTAACGCACTAATTCTTTTGGGCTCTTGGATGATGGATGCTGGCTCTTAGAAAAAGCTACACACATCTACATTATATTCATTTTATATTAACACACACACACAAATGAATCCTTGTGCCAGGGATTACACTAGGTACTAGGAATGCAAAGACAAACAAAGGGAGCTCAAAACAAAACTAGTGAGAAAGACAGGAAATACTACAGTCATAGCTGTAATGCAATGGGCTAAGTAACACATTAGCAGAAATAAATCATACAATACAGAGAAAAAAGGTTAAGGTTTGATTGCCTGCCACGGTCAGAGAAAGTTCCACAGAGACGATGAACTTGGCCCTGAGGGATGAATAGGAGTTTCCTAAGCCAAAAGAAAGGAAGATGAGTAAGGGGAAGTTAGATCTGAGGCTGAGTCAGTCTGGACCAAAGAAACAGAAAAGCAAAGATGGAGGGGACTGAGACCACAGGACTGAAATACAAGCGGAGCTGAAGTACATAATCAGGTAAGGGGGAGTGGCAGGAAGAGGAAGAGGTAGGAGACAGGAGACTGTAAGTTGGGACAGATAGTGAAAATACAGTGAATGCCATGTTAAAGGATTTGAATTGTGTTTTTGTTGTTGTTTTCTACAGGTGTTTATTATTGCACGTGCAAGTACAGTAGGGAACAGAGAGACAAAACTCCTGTCCTCATAAAGCTTCCATTTTAGTTGTTTCTGTAGTTTTTTTATTAGCTCAGTTATGAATAACAGTCAAGGCTGGAGAAACAGAGGCCTAAACTAAGTTATGGTGGTGAGTGGAATAGAGATAAGGAAATACATTTGAAAGGCATGTCAGAGAAGAAACTGATAAAATGAGGTAACCAACTTGCTGGGTGGGAGGGAAAATGATAATTAAAAGAAAGGAAAAACAAATAAAATGAAGGTTTCTCTCTTGGGGGACCAGATGAGTAGCAATGTCTAGCGGGTTGATGGCATGAAGGAAGTCAACTCACGCCAAAGACAGTTTTGGAAATCAACAGCATATGGGTATTAAGGGAGCCACAAGAGTATATGAGACTCATCAGGATGAAAGTTTAGCACCAGGGAAGATGTGAGACCAAGCAAAAACAACCTAAGGAATATGAATATTAAATAACATGAAGAGGGGGAGACTGAAAGTGAAAAGTCAGGAAAGTAAGAAGAGAACCAGTTTCAAAGAAATGTGGTCAGGGTCATATGCTCCTGAAAAATCAAACAAGATGAGGACTGAAAGAAGAGCAGCAGACTGTTAATTAGGAGCTTCTCAGTGACTTCTGAGAAGCAGTATAAATACTTGGGCTATAAGCAAAACTGCAGTGAGAAGTGATGGACGGTAAGGAAGTAAAACCAATAAATACTACTTTTTCAAGAAGTTTTGTGGGAAAGAGGAGGTGAGAGAGGGGGGTGAGATAAAGGTTAAGAGAATGTTTTTGAGAATGGGAGAGACTTAAGCAGAAGGAGTCAGTTGAAGCTCCCAAGACCTCATGATCTTAAAATTAGATTATTGCTAAACAAAAACCATTCTCTTAAAATAACAGGCAATTTTTCATCTTTGTGAATATTCTTGGATAATGTTATCAGCAGTGAGTGCTAGATCTTAGGTTTCCCAGACGTATAACAAAGGAGTGCTTTTGCTGGGCTTTTTGGTAAGATGATTGCCAAAAAAGTAATAAATTCTCACACCTATTTTTTCCTTCATTTGTAATGATCTAGTTTACACAGTACTCAATATTTGGGAAATTCTAATCTCCCTAACATGAGGAAGTGGTTGAGGATTAGCAAAGCAATAAGTGTTTAGCAAACTGCTACTATAGTACAAGTGAAGAACTTCAGAATCTGCTTGAATTCTGTTAAATGCAGCAACTAACTAAATGCCACCTCACCATTTTGGATGCAGTAGTGATTATTCCTCCAAAACATCCAGCTAACAAATGAACTTCATTCCCTGGGCCACACAGATCCGGTTTGTAATCTATGGATATCTCACCTTCCATGGAGAATTCACATCAGTTGAAATTATATTAAGAATACCTCACAGCTGCAAATACAAAGCTGCAGCTTTACTTAAAAAGTTATTTGCATTAAAAAAATCAATTTTTATAACTATAAGATTCTAGAGAAGCTATATTCTAGTTAATACACATAAACAATACAAAAATCATAGTGAAGGTTTAAAACTTAGACATCTCTGTTTTTTAAATAAATTAAAGTTTTAAAACACACATAAAAATTCATCTAGGCACTGAAAAACGGAAGCAAACAGCTTTAAAGGAGTAGTTGGTTAAAAACGTATTAAAAAACCACGTAAGTCTCCAAGGAACAAAGTTTGACATTTGTAAAATGGTGGAAAATTTTACCTTAATTTTATCAATATAATTCACTTCTCTGTGATTGAACACTTCATGGGCTCCATTTTGCAAAACAATCTTTTGTCCTTCCTCAGTACCAGCAGTGCCCAAAACCTTTAAGCCATAAGCTCTAGCAATCTGGCATGCTGCTAATCCAACCTGAAAAACAAATACAACCCAAGAGTTACATATTCTCTGCATTCCTGCAAACACTTAAATACATACAAGGAACTTAAGATTCCTAGGGGACCCACCCTAACTTTAAGGAACTTAAGAGTGTAAATGAAGAAATAAGAAAAATAGCTAACTTTAATTGAGCATTTAAAATATTCCAGGAACCATACTAAATAATTTCTACATATTGCTTTATTTTATTCTCACAATGACCCTATAAAGTAGATACTATTATTGTCCCTATTTTACAGATAAGAAAGTTAAAGCTTCAAATTATAAGTAATTTGGCCAAGTCACATGCAGAGATGGAAACAGGAAGAGCTAGACTAGTCTGACTGCAGAACTTGAGTTTTTAACCACTGCATCAATATGTTTGCAGGGTTTAAAGATGATCAGAACATGCTCTCTGACTTCTTTGTGCATACGAAATTCTAAATAACAAATGTAAGGCTTCTAACATTTAAGTAGAAGAGACAGGTATACGGGCAAATTAACTAATTCATCCATTCGGTGAATGTTTATAGAGTGTTTACGATGTGCTAGACATGGTACTTAACGTAAGAAAGAAATTTACATTCTAAGGGTGGAGGAAGATAATCGTCATATGAACAAATTGAATGAATAAAATAAATTCAGGAAATAAAAGCGCTAAGAAAAAATAAGACTGGCTGTTGGGTTAGAGAGATAGGAATAGGGGCTATTTAGGTCATCAAGAAGGGTCACTGAAAAAACGAGACCTGAAAAAAGTGACGAACAAGCCACAAGAACATCCGATCGGCCATGTGGAGGATGCCGTGGGCAGAGTGAATGGCCACGGCTAACCTGGGGAGGTGGGAATGCAGTTGGGATCAAAGAACAGAAAGAGGGGCAGTGTGGTTTAGGGAGGGGCATGTGCGAAAGGGTCGAAGATGAGGCCAGAAACGCCGAGTCACATAGGATCTGAGGGGTGAAGGTAGAGGCTTCTGAGTATATTAAAAACTATGCAGAACCACTGGAGAGCTTAAGCCAGGAAATGATCTGGTTGACTCAGGCTTTAAAAAGGTTGCTCCAATTATATGTGAGGCACAACGAAGGCGGCGAGGAAAATGGGAGAAGGAAGATCAGTTTGTAGCTGTTAGAGCAGTCTAGATAAGAGATGAAGCTGGCTTGAACAAAGGTGGTGGCACTGGAAAAAATAAACAAATTCAGATATAGTTTAGAAGTAAGCTAATGCAACTTCCTCACAGATTGAATGCGGGAGATGAGGAAAAGAGAAAAATACAGGATGTCTCCTATGTCTTTGGCCAGATTAAATGGGTAGAGTAACTGAGAAGGAGACTGGAGAGCACCAAGTTTGTGAAAATCTCCAGATTTCACTTTGCCAAGTGTAGTGGTACATGCCTGTAATCCCAGCTATGTGGGAGGCTGAGGTGGGAGGACTACTTGGGCCCAGGACTTTGAGGAGTTTGAGGTTGCAGTGATCCTGCACTGCACTGCACTGTACTGCACTGCACTGCAGCCTGGGCAATGGAACAAGACTCTGTCTCTAAAAAATAAAAATAAAAGAACCACTTGGAACATGTTGAGCTGTACAGTGCTCATCTACTTAAAGGTGAAGACGTTCAGCAATCAGGTGAATATGAGTATGGACTCAAAAGAGTTCAGCTGGAGATATATATTAAAGATTCATTATCTTACAGACGGTATTTAAAGCCAAAGGATTAAGTGGAACATGGTGGCTCATGCCTGTAATCCCAGCACTTTGGGAGGCTGAGGTGGGTGGATCATCTGGGGTCAGGAATTCGAGACCAGCCTGGGCAACCTGGCAAAATCCCAGCCTCCCAAAGTGCTGGGATTGTAAGAAATCACTAGAATACCAGATCAATGTGCTTAGCTTAGCACAAAAGAGAAATCAAAGTAGTTTAAGAAGACAGACAAAAGAGCAATTATATAAATAACAATACTAGGAAATATGTCTGATTAGATGACAAATGATTATGCAAATAAGTGTCACATACATTTAGAACAGAGTTTCCCAAACTTGGCACTATTGACATTTTGGGCCAGATAATTATTTGCTGTGGGAGACTATCCCATGTATTGAAGAGTATCTACCCCCTAGATGTCAGAAACCCTTCCCCAAGTTGTGACAACCAAATATGTCTTCAGACATTGCCAAATGTCCCAGAGAGGAAGGAGAAATGATGCAAAATCACCCACTACTCACAATCAGTCATTTATAGGGAGGACGGGGTTGGGCAAGAAAAGAATTAAGATGAAAACTAATGATAGAAACAGATTAAAGTTGTAACAGATTTCCAGGCCTGAAATGGACCTTAAAGATTATATGGCACAGGGGAATAACGAGGCTGGACTCAGCCAGGTTATGGCAGGAATTTGCTTAACTGAAACAAACAAATACATAGAACTCACTGTCTGACGGAGGAGAGAAACATCCAATTAGATAAAACGCAATCCACTATGGGGTGGACCCAACTGATTTTCTACTTTAATTTTCAAATTTAAATAGAAGACCTCTAATAAAACTATACTTTAAAAAGCTAATGTAACTACATCTCCTGATGTTCTAACTGCTTTAAATGGGTACTCAATAGCTCTTTTAAAAAGGCACTGTTTATTCTATTCTTGTCAACAATTATACCAGCAATACTCCTTCAACAGATTATGCACCATTATGTGTCAACTATTTTTCTTCTACTTATTTTGCTAACACTAAAATAGGGCACTCCTCACCAACATATCTGGATAATAGCTGTGTTCATAAATTCCACACCATTTTAAACACACAACATAATCCCCAAGGAATTTGAATTAAATGAGGACAGAAAGTACAAACAGAAGCAAGGCAAAACCCAGTACTGTTTCCCTCTGATAGGACAGGGAGGATCAGAAGCGCTTCACACACCAGGTCACCAGCCTATCCCTGCCAGCCAAGGATTTAACAAACTCAGCCAGCTCAGAGAACAGTGTGGATTTTACCTTAAAAAAAAAAAAAAAAAAAATCATGGTGAAGCAACTGGGCTTTTTACAAGAGGGTAAATGGAATATAAAGAGATTTTCTTTAAATTCTTCTCTCCCCTTTCTACTGAAATCTTTCCCTTCTGCACAAAGCCCGATGTTAGCTCTCTGAAAGCCAGGGTAATTTAAATAAATTTATGTGTTTGACAGATCCTTTCGTTATTTAGGGTTAAATTTAATTTAACCCAAAAATAGCCTCTTCAGTGAAGTTAAACAACGGAAGTTTTGGACAAGGTGTATCTGTCATATTTTCTCAAGCCCCATAAAGACAATCCTGGTGTTTTTTAATAAATTGTCTGATCTGTGAAATCCTTTAGAATTGATCTATTGGAAGTGTAGGAAGCTAGGTGTGAAACCTCGTGATTCATCTACCTAAGAAACAGAGACAAAAAGGACTGAAACTACCTGTTCTTTTACTTTTAAAGGTAAATTCACATTTTCAAGATACCAATCATTATTCAGGGGACAACGAGCCATTTAATATGTTATTTCTTTCAATCCACTCTCCAGAATACACAGTGCTCTGTAAGGGTTAACAGCTTCCTCAAAGTAAGTATCTAGTCCCAGGCCTTTTATTTTTAAAATGCAAAATCTTATCTCCAAAATTTCCAAAGCATCCATTGATAGAGTTCATGTGGATTTCTTGTTAAATTCTAACTGGAGAGGTCTAACTTTTCGCTCTAAGCTCCTGAGAGGCAGATTGGCAGCTAGTTTCTTGAAGAGGTTTCTCACAGCCCTGTGTTGGATGATTTCACTGAAGGGCTTATTTTAAGTTCAGAGTCCTCCTCCCCCATTCCCCCACATTAGCATTTTCAGCCATGGGTTGTGGTGTTAAGGACAGGCCTTTATACTGCACTCCATGAATGTCGTCAAAGCACAGCAGGCAAGCATCGGAAGGGAGATAGAAAGGACTAAGAATTCACAGTGTAGCTTTACCGTGCTGTCTGGGGCAACATAGGTAAGCTTTAACAAGCCTTAGTTTCCTTATCTAAGGGAATATGGAATTAATATCGACCTTAAAGAACTGTTTAAAATTCTAAATAAATATTTTTATATGCTACTTGAAGGCAAAAACAAGGCCAGTTTATCTTAGTCCACACCCACTATAGGTGGGAAATCTAACATATTTTTGAAGGGGTGCTCTGTTGGGTTTATTAACCAAGAAATGCTAAACTAATGACTAAATATCACCTTCAGAAGACCAAAATCAAAAAAGTTTTACTACATAAAAAAAAAAGCATCTTTGACTATATTTATAAATCTGACTTTTAAAAATGACCAAAGGAACTACAATGAAATAAACTCAAGCTTGTTTCAAAATATACTAAAAAAATACTTACTCCTCCACTCGCCCCATGAACCAGAACACTTTCTCCAGCTTTCACATGGGCACTGCAAAAGAAAGTATAAGTTACATCATCTTATATTTTGAAGCTAATTAATCTTAGGTGTTTTCATCATCATAAGGAATTTCTACCCTTAGTCTGGCTAACACTAACACAAAGAGCAAATGCAACCTGATATACAGCCCCAAATATTCCCTAAGCTTCACAGAATAAACAAAGCCTTCAATTCATTTATTCCTTTAACAAGTATTTACTGGGAGTCTTCTATGTTCCAGGCACTATGCTACTGGACACTGGGATCACTATGCGGCGCTACTTCTGAGTAGCTACAGTCCTTGTAGGTCATGAAGTGAAACTGCTGAGCCTGGAGGATCTGGAATCTCTCATTCCCATATATCCCCACAGAAAGGGCCTCAAAGCAGGTTTATTATAGCTCAGTCTTTATTCCGTGGTCTAGAGTAATGTCCAAGTAAACATAGTAGCTATTTTTTTTGCCCGAGGAAAGAAAGTATTTTTTTCTTCTCCATGTTTCCGAACATCAGGTTGCACCAGCCTTGTACTCTCACTTCAGAGAGCAAAGCTGAGTCAGCAAAGGTCAGAGAGTAGGAAATGCAATAAATCCTATCACGAAGATTCCCATGTCATCCCCTAAAATGTCCAGATTCTCTGGTGAAATGGCATTTTCTTTTTACTTCTGGTTCACATGACTACTTTTCTAGTATATTCTGAAAAGAAGGGACATGCAGCAAGGCATGAGGGGATGCCTCACTATTCCAGATGGACAGTGCCAATGTCGCAAGCCAGTAGATGCTGTGGGATCCAGATCTGACTCTTAGGAAGGATCTCTTACTTCCTTGAACAATGTGGGGTGCCCACACTGTAGAGACATTATGGAACATTATGCTCCATCTGGGAAAGAGAACACAGTAACCAGAGTCCTGCTCCCAGCTGTGCACCAACAACTGAGAAGTGGCAACAATGAGCAATAAGAGAAGCTTTCTCCCACACTCTTGCTTGGAGCTAAAGAGACGGAGGACAATATGTTAAAGTAAAACATAAACATAAGGAGATAGGAGCACTAGTGTTAAACTATGGGATATGAAATACTTTCAACGAAATTTTTCAAAAATTCTTGTAAGATGTCCCTCAAACACTAAAGACACATTCTCATAAAAATCTCTAGGCCTGGGGTGAGGGGAGAAAAAGCAGGCAAATCCTTTCCTGAATCCTTGTGCAGAGTCGCTGTGACAGTTAATTTTATGTGTCAACTTGACTGGGCCAAGGAACCCGATATTTGTTCCAACATTACTCTGGATGTTTCTGTAACAGTGTTTTTTTTGTTTTGTTTTGTTTTGTTTTTTTAAATGAGATTAACACTGAAATAGCTGGATTTTGAGTAAAGCAGACGACACTCTAGAATGTGGGTGGGCCTCATCCAATCAGCTGAAGGCTTTTGTTCTCAGAGACTGACCTCTGATGAGCAAGAGTAAATTCAGCCAGCAAACTTTCTAGGGATTTAAACTGCACCTCTTCCTTGTGTCTCCAGCCTGCTGGCCCACTGCAACAGATTTTAGACTCACCAGTCCTCCATAATTTCATGGGCCAACTCTTTAAAATGAATCAATCCGTGTGCATGCGCACGTGTGTGTGTGTGTCTGTGTGTGTACACAGTGACTGACTCTTAAGGAATTTATACAGAGATAAATGATAGATTAGATAGATCAAATAGATAGATGACTGACTGATAGACAGGCAGACAAAGAGACACACATCCTGTTATTTGCTTCTCTGGAGGACCCCGACTAATACAGTCATCTTCCCTGGCGCTCACAGCACTCAGCCTGGCCTTCCATGCTGCTGTTCCCTACCATCTTCTAGTCACTGAAGACTAAGACCTGGCACATAGCCTTTCTCTTCCACCCCAAATCCAGCTCCAATCAAGGAGATTCAGCATTCCCCAGAAAATCAAGCACCACAGTTCCTGAATTTTCCTCCACTTATAGCCACTGTCTCCCAGGGCTATAACTATCAGCAATCATTCCCCCTGAGAAGTATCAGATGCCAATAACCAGGATTATGACACTAATCTATCCTAATTCTGAAAACCCATATTCTCTCAAAATCTTTCTTCAACTATGCAGAGATTACTGACTCTCAACAGCTCCATTTCTGCCCGCTTGCTGCTCCTGGCCTTCCTTCCATCCCTCCTCAGCTTGGATTCCATAGTAGATTGCCCAACCTCCTCTCCCCGCAGTCCCCTGTGCTCTCATTTCCTTTGCACCATTCTATTTTGCCACCAATATTCCAGCCCTGGATTAATGTTCAAATCTAGCTTCCTTGATACTTTATCCAAATGACTAAGTATTATAGAAAAAAAAAAAAAATCACATGACCATGCATTTTGGTGCCACTTCAGCTCTGATTGTTAAAATATCACTTTTTGCCTCCTACTTAATTGTGAAAAGTGAGGCAATGACATACAAGTACCTTCAACACTCCACCTCCCTACCCATAAATATTTTCATAATTATATCATCTTTACCCCTTCTAGGTTTTACGGATAAGCTGTCCTTTCCATACTGGAAGCCAGTCTCTCTACCTATGTCCTAAGTCCTTTCCATCTTACGTTATGCAGATTTTGTTCGATCTGTAAATATGTTCAAGTCTTGCCTAGCCTTAAAAAAAAAATCCCTTTTTCCCACATACTCTCCTCAGGTAACCTTCTACTCTCTCTTCCTTGTCTCCCCGATTTTTAAAAGAATAGTCGTCACTCAAGGAATTGATTTCCTTTTCCTTCCTCAATCCACTCAATCAAGCTCTTCCCACCATTCTATTGAAAAGCAACTGACTAATGTCACCAATGACCTCTTAATTGCTGGGCCCAACTGTTATTTGCTTCTGAACAGACCTCTGTGTTGCATTTGACAGCTGGCCTCCCTCCTTAGTAGCACTATCAATTGCCACTCCTAAAGCTGCCAGCAGTGATTGTGAACTTACCCTGTGTGAGCCCTGTACTAAGAACTTTATACACATTACCTCCAAAGAATTCTTACCACACTCTAGCAGGTAGGTGCTGTTATTATCTATGTTTCTCAAATCAGTAAACTGCACCTGAGATGTTTAAGTAACTTAACCAAGGTCATACAACTAGCACTATGTGAAGACATTAACCCAGGCCTTTCTGTCTTCAAAGTCCATGCATTCACTGGATGCTTAAGGGATACCATGACCTCTAGATTCTGCCGGCCATGGAATCCTTTCAGTCTCTTATGAGTCTATCCTTTTTCTCTGACTACATTCTTAAATGGTGATGTTCACGAGGGTTTTATTCTCACTCCACTGTTCTCACTCCCTGAGGGATTTCAACCACTTTTCATCTTGTCAATTCTTACCTACATGCTGCTATCCCCAAATTTTTATCTCCAGTCTTCAAGCTTCTGACTTTTTTATCCAATAGGCTACTGAACCTCTCCATTAGGATGTGTCTCTCATAATTTCAAATCCAAAACTGAATACAGCTTCCCTTTGAAACTTTCTCCTTCTTTTGTCACAGTTAAACATGAACCAAGCTAGAAAGCTAGACTACTCTTAAGCTCTTCCTCATTCTCTACCTGCAAATAATCACCAAATACCCCTGATTTCACCCCCACTAAATAGTTATTCTTTCCTCTCTACTTACTTCTTCTACCAGAACCCTTGCTCTGACCCATAAGGACTTTGTCTAGTGGAGACTCCTATAAGATACTCCTATCTCTCTCTCCATTCCTATCCTCAAATTCATCCTACACACAGCAGATAAGTGATCTCAATCAAACACAAATATCACAATGGTAGTCTCCTGAATAAAGCATTTCATTACTTCCAGTCCTTTACAGTGCAACAGATGAGCTCTATAATCTGTCTTTTACAATCTGAATTCTATCTATTTGATGACAGCTAACATTTATTGAAAGATTACTCTGTTCCAACTTTATTCTTCACTACTCTTTCTCTTGAAATTTCCTAACAAAATCAAGTTGCTATAGCTGTTCCCACACACCACACTGTTTTTCCCCATACTATCCCCAATGTCTAGAATGTCCTCTCTCCTTCTAGTTACCATTCCTCAGGTGAATTCCCTCTGATGCTTTTCAAATACTTAGTAGACGGGATTAAAATATAGATTTTCAGGCACCAGCTATGGAAACTGACCAGAGGGTCTGGGGTAGGGCCCTATAGTGTACTATTAAATTGCTGCCTGGATGATTCTAATGGATAACAAGATTCTTGAACCATGGCTTTAAAACAGTAAGTTAAAATAATAAGTCTTTTTTTTCTTTTTTTTTTTGAGACAGAGTCTCGCTCTGTCGTCCAGGCTGGCATGCAGTGGCGCGATCTCAGCTCACTGCAAGCTCCGCCTCCTGGGTTCACGCCATTCTCCTGCCTCAGCCTCCTGAGTACCTGGGACTACAGGCACCTGCTACCACGCCCGGCTAATTTTTTGTATTTTTAGTAGAGATGGGGTTTCATCATGTTAGCCAAGATGGTCTTGATCTCCTGACCTGGTGATCCGCCCGTCTCAGCCTCCCAAAGTTCTGGGATTACAGGCGTTAGCCACCATGAAAATAATAAGTCTTACACCTTGCCAGGAAGCCCTACCTCATCACCACAGGCACATGCCTTCTGAGCCTATATATCCCTATGTACATTTCTACCACTGTACTTTCCACATTATATATAAATATGATCATTCTAATGTCATTTCCCTTACTAGACTATGAGCATCTTGAACACAGCGTTCACTCTTTTTTGTATCCCCAGTGATTAGTACAATTTCCCAAATTCACAGTTTCCATTATATAAATGTTTAATGGTAAGTAAATGGTAACCAAAAATAATGAACAGATGGATGGACAGACAACTAGAAGGGAGGCAGTTAACACTGCCCTCATTTGGCATTGGCCATAAAATTGACAAAGTGTGTTATTACCTGTGGATCAGAGCTCGACAGGCAGTAAAATATGGGATACCGATGGCAGCTCCTTGTTTAAAGTCCAGTTTTTCAGGTAGTTTGTAAACAGTGTGGTCTGCTGCAAGAGCGTACTCTGCATAGCCTCCAGAGATCGTGCTGCTAGTGAAAACTCTGTCACCTTTCTAGGAGAAGAGACAAATGAATACATGCATTTGTATTCTAAAAATATTACATCAAAATAGGTATAATCCTTTATAATAAGAAATAAGTGAGTACTTATCTATTGTTCTCTATATCTAGGGTCTCATATAAATAATTTTTGTTTTGTTGAGTTGGAGTCTTGCTCTGTCACCCAGGCTGGAGTACAATGGCATGATCTCAGCTCATCGCAACCTTTGCCTCACAGATTCAAGCAATTCTCCTGCCTCAGCCTCCCAAGTAGCTGGGATTACAGGCACGCACCACCACGCCCAGCTAATTTTTGTATTTTTAGTAGAGACGGGGTTTTACCATCTTGGTCAGGCTGGTCTTGAACTCCTGACCTCGTGATCTGCCCACCTTGGCCTCCCAAAGTGCTGGGATTACAGGTGTGAGCTACCGTGCCCAGCCATAAATCATTTTAAAATACTGAACATTTAAAAATATTTAATAATGGGAACCGATGGGAAGAAAATCTAAGGAAAACAGAAAAAAACATAAGGAAGGATTAACTTCCTTGAATGGCATCATGATGAGGCTGATGGCTCAGTCCATGAAGAGCTTGCTATGTCAGGCACTGCATTAAGTGTCTCTGGAGTGTTATCTAACTTCATCTTCACAACGGCCAGTGAGGTGGGCATGTTTATTATCTCTTATTGTAGAGCAATCCCCACTACACAGATGAGGAAATTGAGGAACAAAGAAGTTCAATAATTTCCTCAGATCAAGCAGCTAGCAAATAGCAGTCAACATAAACTGTTATTTTTGCCCAAAATGCTAGGGAGAAGAAACAAATACAATCTGAAGTTTCTTCCACACACCAAACACCTCCTCTAAATCCCATCCATGAGTTTCCTCACTCCTGCATTGCCACTATGTCTCATGCAAACACCCAAAGGCAGAAAACCATACTAGGACCCTGACAGCATGATGACCCAGGACAGCCTTCTTCTTGACACAGCACCAGAAACACAGTAAAGTCTCGACAAATGTCTGTTGGACCTCACTATTAAAAAGCAGATGCAGGACTCAGGGAGAAGTAATGCCCCAGCCAGGCATTATTGGTCCAGTATGTAATTCGCACGTTAGGGAAAATTGGACTGCCCACTGTAACCACCTGCCTTAACTCCTCCTTCTTAAAAAAAAGTAAATATTCCTTAGAAGAGGCAAATTATTAAGGCAATGATTGCTCAGTATACTTTAACAGAAATCTGAAAATGTAGAAATGTTATCTGATAGGATAAAGACAAAAAAGATTCAAAAGTCATCCAAGAATCAAGGACAAGTACCACCACTTAATACGGTTGCCTAGAAATGTCAAATATGATGAAGATTAATCCTGTTTTTACAGCTAAAAAACATGTTGAATTGATTTCAATATAATTCAAACATTTACTGCGAATATACTATATAGAAAGCATTATTTCAAGTTATGTGAGGGACATCAATACCACTGTCCCTAATGTCAAGCATCCTAGACTCCAGGGGGAGAGAAAAGCAAAGGATATAAATAATTATAAAAAGCAAGGCAAACATGATTAGCCACTGAGGATAGGTAAAAGAAAAAGAAAGAAATTACTTCTAAGTAGAGGAAATTAGGAATAGCGTCATTGAGAAGCTAATAATTGAGGTAAATCTTGAAGAACAGGACAAGATTTTGAAAACTAGAATGGGGAAGAGTCATTACGGGTGAAGGAAACAAAGTTGGCAAAATGATAGGAACAGGAATGAATGCCAAGAAATTACCAGCATTTATTACCAATGAGTAAGCAGACTAACGTGTGGTATGTAACCTTTTCAGGAGATAAAATGAAAAGAAATTGAAGCTAAAGTGTAAAATCCTTTGAATCCATGTTTTTAAGTTTCAATTAAATTTTGTCCATTAGAAGAACCAATATGAACAAAAACACAGAGATGAGAGAGCATGGGATGTGCAGGGAAGGACAAACAGTTCATTACTGAAGAATAAACTACACTGTGAAGAGGAGTGGGAGGTAAGACTGGAAAAATAGATGGGAGAGAGCATGAAACAGTCTTATTTCATAACAATAAGGAATTTTAAGAGTCTTCCTGAAGTCTACAAGACATGGATGCAAGAATGAAAACAGAGGTGTATAACAATCATAATTAAATTTTATAAAATGATTCATTCTAGATTAAGGACGAATTCCAGGGAAAAGAGAAAGTTATGTAGCCATTATAGAAATCCAGGTCAGGAGTGTAGTTAAGTAGGTAAGATAGCCTGAACTAAACTATTGGCAGTGGAAATGGAAAGGAGAGAGAAAACAGTTCTAGTAAGGGAAAGCGAGGAGTAATCCTCAAATCCCAGAAGTCACCAGGACAGTCACACAAGAGAGGCACTATCTGCAGTGAGAAAAGATAAGCTAGTTTTAGACACGTTTTGTATGAGATTTCTAGAGGTTGACCATGTGAGTCCAGTGTCTCCAACAGAACTCTCTGCAGTGATGGAAATGTTCACATCTGTACTGTCCAGCAGGGCAGCCACTGGACACAGGAGGCTATTAAGCATTTGAAATGTTGCTTGAGTGACTTAGGAACTGAATTTTCAATATGAATTTAAGTTGAATTTTAAATTGCCACATGTGGCTAGTGGCTACCGTTTTGGATAGCACAGATCCAGAGTTCAGCAGAAAATTCTATGCTAAAGATGTAACATGTGATAACGGCAACAAAGAGAGTGTATGAGATTGTGAAAAAGGTAAAGAATACAGAAAGCAGAGGTCTAAATAGAGACTGAGAGCCCTAGGCAACACCAAGATTTGAGGAATATCCAGAGAAAAAGAGAGACCTGAAAACAGAGGCCCAGAAAGGAAGGGGAGAGGAGAACAGAAGAAAATGATGTCACAGAAGCTGCAGAAAAAGTTTTTTAAAGAAAAAGTTAAGTGGCTGAGAGTGTCAAATGTCACAGAGAAGTCAAGAAAGATAATGACATAAAAGGGCCCATTAACTCCAGCAAAACAGAGGCCATTAGTGACATTAGCAAGAGTCCTTTCAGTGGAGCCATGGGGGCAGAAGCCAGGTTGCCACAGGCTGAGGAGTGGAAAGTTGTATGAATTTGCGAGTCTTCCTGTACAGGGGAACAGTAATCTTCTCTGTCTCAACCTAATTTTGGTAAGGTGCTGCCAAAGTTGAGTAGGTCAAGGAATTATGAAGAAAGATGATAGGACGTGAGTCTACTATGAATATGCCTTTTGGCATATGTATATATATATATATATATACACACACACACACATACACACACACACATATATATATCCTGATCATAACATTTTCAGTGACTGAGTCAGAGCTCCAAAACTGTATAGTGACCTTGCATTTTTTCATGTTTTACTTATTTTTCAAAAGAATTAACCTCATCTTATGAAGCAAAATTTATAAAAGGAATTAAAAATTATTTTAGCTTGTGTATCATCAAGAGTTGGGAAATAGTCTAACTTCCTCGTGTGCTTTCTTTCCTTACATATTTCTATTAAATCAAAAAAATCACAGTTCATTCTGTGGGGACATGAAGATACAGAAATTATCCAGCACCTATTCACAACAATGTAGTAAACAAATAAGGCCTCTGGATAAAACCTAATTTCTTTTTTGACTAGAGGAGTCCCCCAAGTGGCAGAAATTGTGTAACAGGGCCTTTTAAAGCCTTAAATAAGATGCAGTTGAAAGCTATGTTCAAATATTTTAAGGAAATAAATTAAGCCAAATAGAAATAATTAAAAATGCAATACCTTGAAAGCAGATGCATTATCTCCAACAGCTTCTATCACCCCAGCCACATCTGAGCCAGGAGTATAGGGTAAGAGTGGTTTTTTACTATAAGTACCAGAGCGAATGTATGTCTCCACAGGGTTGACACCACATGCATGGACCTTGATTAGAACCTGCAATGACAATGTATTTTAGTTCACAGAAAGAATATAGGCATTCATTTAACTCTATGCTAGGACTGTCCTGATTATGGGAGCTATCAAAATGGGAGAAAAAAGCAAAACAAGTAAGTGCTTGCCTTCAACAACCTCACATTCCAGTTTTACAAGCTAACATAAATAAGTATGACAGAATGGCTATGTACTGTATTAAAAACATTTTGGGGAAAATAGTGAAAGAAATATTTAAGGGGATATGTGGTAGAGACCTCTGCATGTTTGTCAAACTCATTTTTTCCTTTTCCTGGGTACACAGAAAGAGTGGTGCTTCTTCACCTCCCTCATGGTTATGATTAGCCAAGTGACTGAGTTCTAGCCAATGGAATGTTAGCAAAAGTGACAGCAGACACTTGCAGGCCTGACCGATTAAAACTTCCTAGCCAAGCCACACTGTGCTTTTCCTCTTCCATGCAGACCCTAGAAGACAGGGGTTGGGTGGCAGAGCCACATGAAAGAAGAAGCTGAGTCCCTAAGTCACTGTTGGAGAACAGCTAGCCACCCACATTTGAGAACTTTTAAATTTAGTGTATAAGAAATAATTATCCCTGGCTGGACCATTGTAATTTTTAGGTTACAGCAATTGTAGGAGCTAATTTTACCTTAATTAACACAGAATGATTACCTCTGGTATAAAAGTAAGGGAAGGCTTTATAAAGGAAGTGGTATTTGAGTTAGGGTTTAAAATATAAGTAGAAATTAGGAATGAGAGAAAAAGGATAGTTTGGGTAAAAAAAAAATAGCATGTGCAAAGACAGAGGAATGAAAGGGAGTCTTAAGGAAACTGGACAAAATCTCATGTTGTTACAGCACTATATCTCTACATGGAGAGGGAGTGATGAGAAAAAAATTTGTAAAGATAGGTTACAGCCACACTGCAAAAACTCTCATAGGCTTGCTAAGAAAATTAGACTTGGGAGGCATGGAGGGTGCAGTAATAAAAATACATAATTTAAAATCAAAAGTATATTATTAAAGTCATTGGAGATGATTAAACTATACACTTAAATTCTCATGAATCACACATGAAAAAGCATGAATGCAAAAGAAAATTGTTTTCCCAGCATGCAGAAAATAAAAATCATGAATGTTTGTAATAGAATACCTTATTCAAAACTCCTTATGTGTCCATTCAGAAAAACCCAAATATTGCACTACATAGATCATTCCCTACATCAAAAATTTTCTTATAACCAAAGGTTATTCTTTTCCATATATCTACTTCACTAATTATCAGGTTTATGTTAACTTTATCAATGTCCATATGTATATGTAGTGTAAATTGCATCCTAATTCAATGTCTTTAAAAATAATTGTGACTCTGCTTCTTTTGAACACTATTTGCAAGAGACTCACACTCAGTATAATTATGGCCTCAATAAAGTAATTTTATTTCTACCTGATGGTCTTTTGGAATTGGTACTGCAATATCTGACTGCAATTTCAGGACTTCTGGTCCACCAAATTCAAAAACTCTAACAGCTCTCATCAACTTCTGTCTGGTCGCCATGGTGATCTAGATAATAAGAAAGAAAAAAATTAATGTATTGTCACATTGTATCTAAGATATCATCATGTTTTTTCCCCCCTGGAGGGAGCAGATCAAACAATTTTTTCAAATAACAATTTAAATCATGAGCTTACCACTGATCTCATTTCATGTTTAAGGACCTTTCATCTTACAAATTCCTCAGCTACAAAGCAAAATACTTCATGATACTTACTGTAGGGATTCAGTGCCTTCAACAAAGGAATCAAATATGCAAACAAAAACATCTGGATAGACATAGCATGATACTATATTTAGGTTTTCTTGCTTGGGTTGCGATTTTAGAAATTTTATGAGTTTAGTTTTATTAACATTAGGTAAACCGCCCTCCTTTTGTTAAATTATGAAACATTTCAAACATTTACGTGACAGCCAGTGTATTGGTTCATTTCCACACTGCTATGAAGAAATACTGGCGATTAGATAATTTATAAAGGAAACAGGTTTAATGGACTCACAGTTCCACATGGCTAGGGAGGTGTCACAATCATGGTGGAAGGCAAAGGGGAAGCAATGGCATGTCTTACACGGTGGCAGACAAGAGGGCTTGTGCAGGGGAATTCCCTTTTATAAAACCATCAGATCTAGTGAGACTTATTCACTATCACTAGAACAGCAAGGGAACTCCCTTCCCCATGACTCAATTACCTCCCACCACATCCTGCCTTCCCAATAGTCTCCCAAAATCTTAACTAATTTCGGCATAAACTCAAAAGTTCACAGTCCAAAGTCTCATCAAAGACAAGGCAAGTTCCTTCTGCCTATCAGCCTGTAAAATCAAAAGCAAGTTAGCTACTTCCTAGATACAATGGGGGTACAGGAAATGGGTAAATACAGCTGTTCCAAATGGGAGAAATTGGCCAAAAGAAAGGGGCTACAGGTCCCATGCAAGTCTGAAATCCAAAAGGGCAGTCAAATCTTAAAGCTCCAAAATGAACTCTTTTGACTCCACATCTCACATCCAGATGACTCTGAAAAAAGTGGGTTCCCATGGTCTTGGTCAGCTCTGCCCCTGTGGCTTTGCAGGGTAAAGCCTCCCTGCTGGCTGCTTTCATGGGCTGGCATCAAGTGTCTGCAGCCTTTCCAGGCATACAGTGTGAGCTATCAGTGGATCTACCATTTCGGGGTATGGAGGACAGTGGCCCTCTTCTCACAGCTCCACTAGGTGGTGCCCCAGAAGGGACACTGTGTGGGGGCTCCCGGTTCACATTTCCCTTCCACACTGCCCTAGCAGAGGTTCTCCATGAGGGCTCCATCCCTACAGCATACCTCTGGCTGGACATTCAAGAATTTCCACACCTCTGAAATCTAGGTGGAAGTTCCCAAACTTCAATTCTTGAATTCTGTGCACTGGCAGGCCCAACACCACATGAACGCCTGAGAGGCCTCGGGCTTGCACCTCTGAAGCAATGGCCTGATCTGTATGTTGGCACCTTTAGGCCATGGCTGGGATGCAGGGCACCAAGTCCCTAGGCTGCACACAGCATGGGCGCCCTGGGCCCAGTCCAAGAAACCATTTTTTAACTCCTAGGCATCTGGGCCTGTGATGAGAGAGACTGCTGCAAAGGTCTCTGACATGCCCTGGAGACATTTTCCCCATTCCATTATCTTGATGATTAACATTTGGCTCCTCCTTACTTAGGCAAGTTTCTGCAGCTGGCTTGAATTTCCCTCAGAAAATGGATTTTTTTCTATTGCATCTTCAGGCTGCAAATTTTCTGAAATTTTATGCTCTGCTTTCCTTTTAAACATAAGTTCCAATTCCAAATCATATCTTTGTGAATACATAAAACTGAATGCTTTTAACAATGCGCAAGTCACCTCTTGAATGCTTTACTGCTTAGAAATTTCTTCTGCCAGATACCCTAAATCATCTCTTTCAGGTTCAATGCTCCACAGATGTCTAGGACAGGTGCAAAATGCCAGCAGTCTCTTTGCTAAAACACAACAAAAGTCGCCTTTACTCCAGTTACCAACAGGTTCCTCATTTCCATCCAAGACCACCTTGGCTTGGACTTTATTGTCCAAATCACTATCAGCATTTTGGTCAAAGCCATTCAACAAGTCTCTAGGAAGTTCCAAACTTTTTTCCCACATCTTCCTGTCTTTTGAGCCCTTCAAACTGTTTCAATCTCTGCCTGTTACCCGGTTCCAAAGTCGCTTCCACATTTTCAGGTATCTTTACAGCAGTACCGAACTCTAATAGTACCTATTTACTATTATTAGTTCATTTTCATACCGCTATGAAAAAACAACTGAGACTGGGTACAATTTACAAAGGAAAGAGGTTTAACGGACTCGCAGTTTCACGTGGCTGGGGAGACCTCAGAATCATGGCAGAGGGCAAAGGAAAAGCAAAGGCACAACTTACATGGCGGCAGACAAGACAGCATGTGCAGAGGAACTCCCCTTTATAAAATCATCAGATCTCCGAGATCATCCTGGCTAACACAGTGAAACCCTGTCTCTACTAAAAAATACAAAACAAACAAAATTAGCCAGGTGTTGTGGTGGGCACCTGTAGTCCCAGCTACTTGGGAGACTGAGGCAGGAGAATGGCATGAACCTGGGAGGCGGAGCTTGCAGTGAGCTGAGATCGTGCCACTACACTCCAGCCACTACACTGCAGCCTCGGCAACAGAGCAAGAATGTCAAAAAAAAAAAATACAAAAAACAAAAAACAAAAAAAACCATCAGATCTCATGAGACGGATTCACTATCATGGGAACAGCATGCAAAGGACCTGCCCCATGATTGAATTCCTCCCCCAGGTCCCTCCCATGACACGTGGAAATTATGGGAGCTACAGTTGAAGATGAGATTTGTGTGGGGACACAGCCAAACCATATTACCCAGCTTTAACAAATCTTAACATTTAAAAAACCTAAACTATTATAGATATAATTGAAGCCAAACCTGCTTCTGGCCTACCCTTTCAAGAGGTGACTATAACCATGAATTCAGTACTCATCATTCTCAAACATTTAATATCACTTCTACATGTGTATGTAATATTAAACAATGTGTTACTGTTTTGCATGTTTTCAAAATTCATACAGTTTAGGGAACACAAAAATCTCAAAAACTTAATGCTGAAAGGAAAAAGCAAATTCTGATTTGAAAAAGAATTCTACAATTTGCTTTTTCCTTTCAGCATTAAGTTTTTGAGATTTATCAGTGTCGAAACACTTGGCTTTCTGTAGTTCATTCATTTTAACAAAAGGGGAAAAACGTCAAACACTAAAAACAGTGCACCATATGCAATCTTTTATAAATTACAAGGGCACAGCTAACCTTTCTGTTATATCACTGTTAATATTAAATGAAATGGAAACTCAGAGTTCAAATAACCTATAAAAAGACAAAGAACATTTGTACAGAAAATTATATAATCTTAGAAAATTTTCTGTACCTGTAAAGATGTAATGAAAGGTTTTGACTATATCCCCATAATTATATCTGTGGGTTATCATAATTTCTTGAAATCAACCAAATAGTGTTAGATTCTGCCATCACCTAAAACATCTGCTTTAACCACAAGAAGTTTAAACATTAAGAAGAGTTGCAGAAACCAGGACCTGATACGAAAGACTTCAGACTTTTACTGTATCAGAACTCCATACAGGACTACTCAGAACAGAGCCCATACTGGCTATAAAATGTCATTCCACATTTCCACATACAGTGGCTGGGGCAGGGGGTGGAATCAGAAGTATTTTGGTAGTGTTATTGATGGAAAGTTCCTGATATAATTAATCAAAAGTTTGTGTCCCTTTAAAACCCTTAAAATGATTTAACACAGTGTCTAGCACAAAGGAGAAAGTGACATTTCCAAAGGTTGTTTAGCAATGACATATCCTGAAGGGTGGTCCTCGGGGGAAAAAAAGAGGCAGAAGCAGGCAGACGGCATAAAGATTGCACTTTAAAACAGCTTGGCAGTGTCTGACGGGGAGATGATCTGTCAGAGGGCAGGGCTGGGAAAAAACAGCCCACTCCTACTCAGCAATCTCACCACTCTACTTCCATTCAGGTCTTCACTCTAGCTGAGAATTCTTTAGACAAGAAAGTGAAAGCGTCCAGAAAATAAAAAAGAAACAGGTTGCCCAGATGAGATGGTGGATATAAGAACACAGAGGTTGTTTTTGTTTTGTTTTTTCAACATGGTGTTATGGGAAGAGCAGGTTTTGGAATACGCAGCTCGAGGTGTGAGTCCCAGCTCTATCATGTAGCAGCCACATGGCCTTGGGCAAGGCAGTCAACCTCTTGATGCTGTTTCCTCATCTGAAATCTGGGCTCCCACTCAGAGTTATATGCTAGAGACATGGCAAGCACCAAGCACAGAACTTAGCAAACACATGCTCTTGTATATAGTAGACATCATTATTGTTTTCCCCTCTATTCTTTTCAGTTTCTGAATCCTAAGGATTGCCTGAGCCCAGGAGACCCAGTCCAGCCTGGGCAACATGGCAAAATGGCATCTCTACAAAAAAAAAAAAAAAAAAAATTACCTAGGTGTGGTGACAAGCACGGGTGGTCCCAGCTACTCAGGAGGCTGAGCTGGGAGGATCGCTTGAGCCCAGGAGGTCAAGGCTGCAGTGAAGCAGTGAGCTGTGATCGTGCCACTGCACCACTCCAGCCTGGATGACAGTGTGAGACCCAGTCTCAAAAAAAAAAAAAAAAAAAAGCAGACTAGAGAAGTCACTAAAATGTTATGAAAAAAATATACTCTATAGTTCTGTAATTATCTTTAATTCAATATAACGATATTTACAGGACTCTGGTTGTCAAAACAAGCTCCTATTCTCAAAGAATTCGGTGAAGATGACTTAAACAAAACATTAATACCAAACATTGGTTGTTACCCAATGTGCATTTTTCTGAACCTTAACTGTGCATGAAGCAGTGTGTTAAACTCAGAGAACACAAAGAGCAAGGAGAATATGCCCCACTCTGCCCCTAGCTTCTGTAAGCTGGGTGCTCTCTCTCTCACACACCTACACACATACCCTATGAGATGCTTGCTCTTTTTCCATTTTCCATATCTACCTACTTCCTACCTATGTCTTTCACTCACATCTTACAATTACCATTAAAAAAACTGTTGTAATAATAAAAGTAAAATTACTCTGAAACAGGAGCTGTATCTCCCCCTCCACCGCCCCCACCCCCCACCCTCACCAAACACACACATTTTGGCATTGGCTAAGTGAGAGAAAGGAATAAAGAAGGAGGACTCATCTCCTTTGCCCAGTACTAAACTACCACATTACACTATTGGGCTTGAAAGTGATGGGGCATGGCCTGACCACACTATCTCCTACTTTGCTTCAGCTGATCTTATTTCCCACTGAGCCTTTAACATTCTGATTGATCAGGCTCCAACCTGCACTCATTGCCTTTGAACTCACCTATCCACCGGATCATCATATGCTTCATAATGATGAAGCTTGTCAAAAGAGATTATACAAATAATAAAATAACGTGGCATACTGATAGCAAATAGGATAATACTTAAACTCCTGTAATACTGGATTTCTTCTAAAAAGCATAAGTCTCTCACTTTCATTGACATAACTATTTTCACAACAAGTAGAGAAGTTATTTAAACTATTATTTTATGCAGAAGTAAAAATAAAATCGCCATCCATTTTATGGATGAGAAAACATCACAAGAGGTTAAGAGACTTGGCCAGGGTCACACAGAAGCAAAGCTAGAACCCAAGTCCTATAATTAAATGGTGTTAGCTGATTTTTTTTTTTTTTTTTTTTAAGTTTACAATCCTTTTCATCTCACCCTTTGAGATGCTGACATATAAGACCCTTTACTTCATAGAAATAAACTTTACAGCCGGGCGCGGTGGCTCATGCCTGTAATCCCAGCACTTTGGGAGGCCGAGGCGGGCGGATCACGAGGTCAGGAGATCGAGACCATCCTGGCTAACACAGTGAAACCCCGTCTCTACTAAAAATGCAAAAAATTAGCCGGGCGTGGCGGCGGGGGCCGGTAGTCCCAGCTACTTGGGAGGCTGAGGCAGGACAATGGCGTGAACCCGGGAGGCGGAGCTTGCAGTGAGCCGAGATCGCGCCACTGCACTCACTCCAGCCTGGGCGACTGAGCGAGACTCCCCCCCAAAAAAAAAGGGAAGGAAGGACGGAAGGAAGGACGGAAGGAAGGAAGGAAGGAAGGAAGGGAGGAAGGGAGGAAGGGAGGAAGGGAGGGAGGGAGGGAGGGAACTTTACAATAGTGATAGTGAGAAAGATTGAGCTAGAAAATGTGAAATCAAACTAACCTGCGGGGAGAATCACATATTTTATGACTAAGGCATCTGCTTAGAGTTTGAAATTTCTCAAATACCCACTAAGTCAGGAAATGCAGCAGAAATACAAAGGACATTATTCTATTTTTTTAAATGTGTAAAAAAAATTACTCCCTAGCATCGGATCCTTGTGGACAGGACAGACCTTTCCATTGCTTGTGGTTTTTAATTGAACTATACTTCAAACAGGCCTTCCTGTTTATCAAATATAAACTTTTAAAAATTGGAGTCCCTTGGTTTAATTTTTGGTTTTATTTTACCTCTGAAAGGTTGCCAATATGCCTTACAAATCTAGGAAATAGGAAATCTAAAATCCCTCCTCCAACAGTGATCTTTTTCCTGGCCATGCTTGTATTCATTTGATTTAAATGAAAATTAAAGGAATTGGGAAAATATTAGGCGTATATTTTAACATAGGAAGAACAGATCAATTCACAAAGCCAGGACAAAGGAACATGATGAGACAAGAACAAAAGTAAAATTAAATAAGAATTCTGGCAAGAATTTAAAAAACTGAAAACTTAGAAAAAAAATCAATCATTACAAAATGTTCTGTTGCTAATAAAAAATGACTCACATAAGCATATGGTTTATTATTAATCCAGAAGGTAAAAAAGTCAAGAATTACAAGTGGTCAGAGAAAGTCTCTTCCTGGCTGTGTGATCTTATCAGGCCACTTCTGTTCACTTGTGACAGGACGGGGTATGAAGAAGGGAGGAGTTTAATAGATAATTCCGGACTCCTCCAGGTTCCCTGATGGTATGGAACAGGGCAGTCTGTTCCCTAATGTTGGGGGAGTAGAGCTCGGAGAGATTTGCTGCTGAACTCGCTGCGCTAACCAGACACGTAATCACAGTGGCTTCAGTGGGACTCACACAGCAATTTCCATTAGCTACGGACAAGCATTCCAAACTTTAGCCTTTAGGTTTAATCATTGACACACCTTCCCTGGTCACTGAGTCTCCTCTAGAAACTCAGTATGAACATCCAACGATGTGTTAACAGGGTGTTTCGTAATTTTCTTTTGAAGATTATTCTAAGTGGGGGGCGTCACAGGGTCAATAAAAACATACATTTCTCTCAAAGTAAGACTGCAATCCTGATGACAAAGCTCAAGGAAGACCAGGCGGCAAGCTCCGGGAAACCTGTAATTGCGGGAATCAAGGAGAAAAAAATTTCCCACAGCTAGGCTGTGGGAAGGGGCCCTACCTAGAAGAAATCAAATCCCCTACAGCTGGGCTGTGGGAAGGCGCCCTACTTAGGAGAAGAAATCCCCTACAGCTGGGCTGTGGGAAGGGGCCCTACCTAGGAGAAATCCCCTACAGCTAGGCTGTGGGAAGGGGCCCCGGACAGACCGCTGCGCGTTGCTGCAGGAATCCCCAAACCCAGGCACTGGCTGCAGGGAAAATCAAGCGGGTGACTGGCGTGGGGGATGCAGCGTGGGACTGGGGGTCGGGGAGTGCGGGAGGCGGAGGCTGGGCAGGGGTAGTTCCAACGAACGCCTCATGGTGTGGTAGCCTAAACTCAGAGACTAAACCCAGGACCAGAGCGCAAAACTCCCTACGTGATTTATGGATGGGAACTTGCAGGCCCTGGAGGGGAATGGCTTTGGTCTGGAGCTCTTTACGCACTAATTCTCTGAGAGGACAGAGGGCAGGAAAGGAGTGCAGCCAAAATCAACCTCTGTTGCACTTGGAGGAGCAGTGGGGAGATTCGCTGACTGAACAACTAAGGAGAGTTTTTAAAACCACTTACCAGAATCTATAGTGGGAATTAAAATCTGCGTGGGCCTCTTCAGATTCCACAGGATGAGCCCTGCTACACGTTCTCCAACTTTTGCAGGCTCCGCCCATGCTGTGCGCCTCTCCCCAACCCCAGGCGAAGGCACTAGAATTTCCCAAATTAGGAACGCAGAGGAAGTTTGGACCTTTTCGGCCACCGCTCGCTTCAATATGGCCGCCCCCAGGGAGAGACTAGGCAACCGTGAAGGAGCAGAGCGCGGACCCTGAGTCCCTCACACATGGATCGCAGCGCGGAGTTCAGGAAATGGAAGGCGCAGTGTTTGAGCAAAGCGGACCTCAGCCGGAAGGGCAGTGTGGACGAGGATGTGGTAGAGCTTGTGCAGTTTCTGAACACGCGAGATCAGTTTTTCACCACTAGCTCCTGCGCTGGCCGCATCCTACTCCTTGACGGGGTGAGGGCCCTTTTGCTCCCGTCCATCGCCTGCCTTCTAGTGCGAAACTTTAGGAGCCCTGTGCCCACCCAGTGACGACCGGATCCAGCATGTCTGTGTTTGTTCCTCCGCAGGGTGGTCTGTTTCTTTATATGTGTAATTTAGGGGATTAGATTAGTGCTTCTAAAAGTTTAATGTGGCAATTAATCAGCTGAGGATCTTTTAAAATACAGATTATGATTCTTCAGGTGTAGGGTAGGGCCTCATCCTGTGCGTTTCTAACAAGTGCCCAAATGATGTTGAAACTGCTGACCTGGAAACGATCTTGTGTGGCAAAGGTTAGAAAATTGATTTTATTATGTGAATACTAAGGGAATTTAAAGACTTTGTAGCCTGCCAAGGTATTGAATGCTGGAATCCGCTCATCAACAGCTCTGACATTGTTACTACATGCTTGAACATCACCAGGGTTAAGGAGTTCACTGCCTCCTAGTGAGCCCCTCCATTATTACAACTGTTATTACCATTCTGGTAGTTTTAGGCAGATAAGTAGGATTGTATATAATTTAGGATGGTTAGACTTAATGATTTTTAACTTTGTGATGGGCTTACAGAGGTAGTAAATGCATTTTGACTTACATTTTTTACTTATGACGCATTTATTGGGATGTAACCCCATCATAAATCAAGAAGCAGCTGTACAAGCCATACCTCCTTATTTGCAGGTTCGTTACCCCAGTCAACAGCAGTCTGAAAATATTAAATGAAAATTCCAGAAATAAACAATTAGTAAGTTTTAAGTTGCATGCTGTTCTGAGTAGTGTGATAAAATGTTGAGCCAACCAGCTCCTTCCGGAATGGGAGGTGAATCATCCCTTTGTCCAGAATATTCCGCTATATACTCTTGTTGCCGTTTAGCTACTTGATAGCCCTCTGGGTTATCAGATCCACTGTGGTGGTATCACAGTGCTTGTGTTCAAGTAACTCTTATTTTACTTAATAATGACCCCGAAGTATGAGAGTAATGATGCTGGCTATTTGGATCTGACAACAGTAAGTCATAAAGTGCTTCTTTGAAGTGAAAAGGTGAAAGTTCTTAAGGAAAGAAAAAACAACATATGCTGAGGTTGCTAAGATCTATGGAAAGAATGAATCTGTGTCAGTGAAATTGTGAAGAAGGAAAAAGAAATTCATTCTTCTGAGATTTCAGGCATCCATTAGGGGGTCTGGGGACATATCCCCTGAGGATAAAGCTGCTTGGGAGTGATATTGCTTAGAGTAAAAACCACTGGCTGTGTTGTAGCAGGACAAGCCACAGACAAAACTCCTCAGACACTGAGTTAAAGAAGGAAGGGGTTTATTCGGCCAGGGGCATCGGCAAGACTCCTGTCTCAAGAACCAAGCTCCCCAAGTGAGCAATTCCTGTCCCTTTTAAGGGCTCACAACTCTAAGGGGGTGCATGTGGGAGGGTCATGATTGATTGAGCAAGCAGGGGGTACATGACTGGGGGCTGCATACACTGGTGATTAGATTGGAACAAAACAAGGTAGGGATTTTCATAGTGCATTTCTATACAATGTCTGTAATCTATAGATAACATAACCGATTAGATCAGGGGTCAATCTTTAACTGCCAGGCCCAGGGTGTGGTGCCAGTCTGTCTGCCTGTGGATTTCATTTCTGTCTTTTAATTTTTACTTCTTTCTTTGGAGGCAGAAATTGGGCATAAGACGATATGAGGGGTGGTCTCCTCCCTTATTCCCCTATTTTGAGACTCTCACTCATTTTATTAGTGGGAGTTCTCACTTTAATTTTCACTACCCATGTCTTCTTGCAAGACAGATTGATAGTGATTCATATAGTACACTTGTGCTTAAGTATTTTGGTGAACTAAGGTAGCGATGAAGCTTTTTATCATTTGAAGAAGTACAGGTAGCAAACAAGGGAGCAGTAGGCAGGTTCCTATTATTATTATAACTCCTATCATAAGAGTTTTAAATCCTCCTAGCGCTGGGAACCATTTTCCAAACATGGCCCCAGGATCAAATCCATGCTACACTTCCACTGGCGCATGTGCCAGTTTTGTCATATCTCTATGTCTTCAACTACTTGCCCTTGATCATCTATGTGTAGACAGCAATTAGTAAGGTTAAATTTTCCACACACCCCTCCTTCAGCTGCTAGCAAATAGTTGAAAGCCAATCTATTTTGATAGATAGCATTTCTCATCTGAGTTTCTTGCCAGGCCAGAATAGTCAAGGCTCTGCCAGTTTTATTAGTGATTATTTCTAAGACAGCTTGTAACCTTATTCGGTTGATCATGTAAATGGAAGTCTGGTATCCCCATGAACCGTCTAGTGCCCAAGTAGCAGGCCCATAATATTGTATAATTCTCTCAGGGGGCCATTCATCATCTTTCCAATTTCCTATAGCTATGCTTCTCTTTTTGTGGGAAGCATAGACAGGGAAACCCAGGAGTTGGCCTATTTTTATGGGCAGTAGGAAGAAAGATGGTTTAATAGTGCAAATAACACAACTGTCTGCCCAGTGGTCACGTAATTTGGTATAAGCTCTATGCCCACATATCCAGTATAATCCAGTGGGGGCTGTCCAGTCCTGTTGGGACTCCAGGTGGGGCCACATGGTTTGCAACTTTGGGAATTTGCTAAATGGATTCTTCTCCGTTTGATTTGAACTCCACCAAGTGACTGTTTTTGTGGTACCATTATACAGTTTCTGTCCCAGACAACTAAGTTGTCCTATGAGGTGAGTGAATTCTTTTCCTTCTCTAGCTATGCAGTATTGTCCAATAATTGAGGCTTTTAGGACCCAGAAATTATCAGGGTGATTCTTTTGAGCCGGGAATTCATCAGGAAGTGGGTCTGTGGGTAGTAATTCTCGGGCTTCCCATGGCCATTGATCTCCCATTCAATTCCTCCACATACATAACATGAGGTGACATTGAGAGACTGGGCTACATGCTTGGCTAATTGCAAAAACAAATTTCTTGTTTTTCCTGGAATTTCTGGTACTGGTACATTTAGTTCATCATAGAAAGTTTGAAACACTGGTTCAGGAGAGCATTTGTAAACTTCTCCTCAAACCAAGATATTTACTCGAGGATCCAGTCTGACCCCATGGATTCCTAAGGTCACACACTCCCCTTTTTTCCAGTGAGGATCAAGGGGATTCATTATTGTTAGCTCTAAGGGTCACATTGTCCCTTAGTACAGGAAGGGCCACTTTTTTCTTTCTGAAGGTGGACTGGATCCTTTTTATTTTTTATCCAAGTGGCCCAAATGACAGAAGACCAGGATCCACATTCATTTCCACACAGTCCTAATTCATGTGAAATATACTTATTTTCAGTCATATAGCCTTTTTCCCAACTAAAAGAGCCACATCCCCTTCCTAACTTACTGTTAATAACAGCACAGGCATCAAATTTTAAGGTGACTTGTTTGGGCACCACTTCTTCTTCTGTTTTGGCTAACACTTTAGTCGTATCATTTATGAGCCCCTACCAGTCTTCAGTTCTTAATTCTATTTTAAAAACTGTGATTATGGGAGGCTCAGATGAGTAATAACACACATCAGGTTGGTCATTTCCTGGGCTACATACCTTGTATAGAATAACATTATACAAACAAGTTCTTTTTAGAGTTCCAGGAGACTTACAATAACCGTAAAATAATAGGACCGTAGCAACCTTTTATACTGTCTCAGTGACTTGATGTATACACTGGGAACAGCCCTCAGTCTGAGGAAGGTCAGTTGAAGTCCTTACTGTACAAGTCCAAATTTTAAGGAAAATGAGTCCCGCGGTGAGTTTCCTCATGCTTTGGCTGTGCGTGGACCAGTCAGCTTCCGGGTGTGACTGGAGCAGGTCTTGTCGTCTTTTTCGGAGTCACTTTGCAGGGGGTTGGTGAAGCTGCTCCCATCCATGTACTGCTTACAGTCTACTAATGTTTAAGGATGGTCTCGAAGGTTAGTCCTGCTAGAATAAACTGAGTCCAACACCTCTACACAGTTGTGTTCAACTGGGCTCTCTGATACTGGGAGCAAGGTGGTGGGGTTTAGGGTGTTGCAAACTTCAATGGTTATTTGGGGATTTTCACATAGCAAGATTTGGTACTTGGTTAATCTAGCATTTGTTAACCAGTGATGTCCTTTGGTATTTATTAAAGTTACCACAGCAGGGGGGGCCTTTATATTCAGGTTTTGTGTAAGAGTTAGTTTATCTGCTGCTTGTGCTAAAAGGGCCATTGCTGCTAGGGCCCTTAGACCTGGGGGCCAGACTTTGGAAACCCTGTCTAGTTGTTTTGAGTGATAGGCCACTGGCCTTGGCCAAGGCCCCACAGTCTGAGTTAAAACTCCAACTGCCATTTTTTCTCTTTCTGACACATAGAGTGTAAAGAGTTTTGTCAGGTCAGGTAGCCTCAGGACCGGGGCCAACATGAGTTTTTCTTTTAACTCATGAAAACCTCATTGCTGTTGGTTGTAATAGATGTAGTTTATCTAATCTACATTTTTATTAACTGTCACCTACCAAAATATTGACTTAAATCCTACAGCTATTTGATTTCAAGCTTTAAATTGGTCTGGTATTCCTCGTGGGACTCCAATTGCGTCTAAATAGACATGAGAGTTCAAAGACCCATAAGGAGCTTCTCTCGCTTTTTGATGTCTTATTATTTTTTTTCCTTCTGGTTGATGAAATGCTAGGGTGAAAGGGAGAGCCAATTGGACTAAAGTACAAGTGCCACTCCAGTTACTCAGCAGAGTGCCCAGTAAAGGTCCACCATGATACTACCACACATCCACTCAGGGATGAACAAGGGCTGACTGATTGATAAGCTCTTGAAAATTCTTAAGCTCACTGCATCCTTTCAGGTCTCCAAGGAACGCTAAGTTTCCTCCCTATCATGAGAGACACAAAATGAACTTGGGAGATGGAGGCTGGATGGCTTTCGGGGGCTGACCTGTGGGGTGCTGGACTTTGGGATATAGCAGAGAGAGCTTGGCATGACTTATTACTCCAGGCTGTAGAATCCTGGAAAAGAGCTACCGTGCAGTCCACACCTGGTTGACTGGAGGACCACCTTAGTGGAAAGGGGACAGTCTTGGCCTCTGGCCTTCCATGTGCACAAGCATAACAATTGCTTTTGTTTAATGTGCAAATGGAATATTTGATCCATTTTAACCAGGTGTTTGCATCTTGGTACCCAGT